ACGGATACGAAACAAGTATTTTATAACTCCAAATATTCAGAGTTCTAAAGTACTTGGTACTAGATATTAAATTCTGAATTGAAAAATCTGGGTAGTTCTTTAAATCTTTTATTTGTAGGCTAAATGTGATTATTGCTCTACAAGTGAATAAATTTTGTACATACCAAGTTTTGTTTCATCAGAGATAACAGTGCTAAGTGAAAAGTAAAACATTTTCTGTTCCTTATAAACAGTATACAAAAAACGGTTCTTTGATGATGATAATAATAATAAGAGTAAGTACTGAAAGGATATAGTTATAAAGGGAAATAAAATGCACTTTTAGATTTAATTGAAAAGTTGTAGAAATCTGGAATTGATGAACTTCACAGTGTTATAACGAAAACCTAAAGTTCTTAATCATCGAATATCTTGAAACGATCCAATTGCTGTTTTATATTGGCATTTTGGGAATGGACGTAAACATTATTGTATCCGTGAAAAGGAAATAATGCGGTCGGTAACCAGAAAGATCAGTTTTTATTGTTAACAGACGTGGCCACAGGCGAGGCACTTGGCGCCCCACACGATGTCTTGAAAGCTAGTTTGAGAATGGTCAAAAGCAGCGGGAACCTGAGGCCTTTCATCCAAGTTCGGTGTAAAACTTTGAATCCTCGAGAATGAGTCATAGTCACAGGGTAAAAATTTTAAGGAAATCAAAAACATTTGCTCATAGACTTCTGCGAAAAAACTTTTGGAAAGTAAAGTAAAATATTATTTTCCATGTTTACCGAATGTGCATAAGCTTTGCACGCACACGATTGTTCAAGAAGTTAAGCGTTTTCAAGAATACTTTGTTTACATGTTATTGTCAATAGATGAGCAATGCAAATAAAATTTGCTTTTCATTAAAACAACGAATATTTTGCTAAATATCAGAAATAATATGTAAATAGCTTCTAGTTAATTGGACGACATGATTTTCATACAGGAAATCAAATTCTGAGTTAAAAGTTGATATGAATAAAGGACAAATTTATATAAAAGGAACTATATAAATTCATTTGAAAATCTACAGCTTAATAATATTCGTAACAGTTTCGATGCAGATATACATAAATTTCTCGCATGTGATTAAAAATCATTGATAAATTTCAGCTTCATATATGTGATCTTCCGAATAATGATTAAATTATTTAAATTTGCGAAAAATAACAGGATTAAATTTTCCCAATTCGCAGAGTTTTTAAACAGGGAAAAAATTAAAGCAACAAATATATAGAGAGTATGAAATTAAAATGCTGTTGAAAAAATTTTTTTCATACTTTTTTTTCATGTCTATGAAAATGGATAACAAGTGTAAAATATCAAGATATTTTGAATTCATAAATTTCTTATGCTGCCTAATTTTCAATTTTTAATTTTTCTGTAAAAACGTAATAGTGGACAAATGAATCATTTGGTGATCACTCAGAAGGGATTCCATTTGTGGCGTATTTAGGTATCCGAATCTTGCAATAATCCCAAGGCCTTTTCATTTCTTCCAAAGAAAAGCAATTAAGCATTAACGTATTACTAGATAAGATTATTGGCATTTACTAATGCTTGTTATCTAGTGGTCTTCTACTGATGTCATGCACTTTTCAGTTCTCACTATAACTGATATTCGGTAACGCGCATATCAATTACTTAGGGCCCTCGAGGCCCCTTAAGTAATTAATTAAAGAGTTCGGGTCCATGTGTTGTTAATTATTTTACATGCGCTCGAAAATAAGTTTGATTTTCCATTGACTCATTTTTATCCTAAATTTTCTATAGTATCACTCTGCTTTATTGTAAATCTTGTACAATATCATAGATTGTTGCAATATGTGAAGGTGGGGGTTCGCGAGAGATTTTGGTCTGTGTGCCTGACAAATATCCTCTTTATGACGCCTGTTTTAGGCGGTGGGAAACATGGAAAATATTCAAGCAAAAAAGCGGATTATGTCGCCCCAAATTTGTATCCTTTATTATTATTATTATTATTATTGTATCCGTGTTTACATGTTTGTAAAATTAATAAAATTTATTAAACAATTTTCTTAAATAAAAATCATTAAGTGACTTTTCTCTTCTTTCACTTGAAAGAAACAGTTCATCACCAACGACATTTAACACCTACAATACGAATAATTCGTGCATTTTAGGGGAAAAAAATTAGCACGCTCGCAAACGTGTCCTAACATCATCATAATTCTGTTGCTATTCTAAATATGTACAATCGCATTTGTAACGCGAATAACATGTAGTTTTTTTACCCCATGTCCAAATGTTATGGAAGATACCAATATTGCACATAGAAAGCTACATAATATTCATATGGTTGTTCTAGTAGAAAGTTCATGACACGTTTCATGAATGTACTGCAAACACAAATGATTAATGCGAAATGAAAAAAAAAAAAAAAAAAAAATCGACATAATTTCATCTGAAAAAATATGCAGGAACTTTTTAAATATTTTTTTGAAATTCTAAATAACTTACATTTAATAAGCAGAATACAGTTTTTAAGTAACATTATTTTATCTATTTTTGAAATACAAGCCTTACGAACTGTCTTTACAGTACATATTTAATGAAAATGTTTTCTATAACTAATACTGCGGCAAAATAAAAGATATTGAAGTATTTATGGAAAATGAATAATTTGACGGTTGCCTGAAACCTAGGTAATTAGTATAATTGTAATGTGAGTAGCATGTACTTTATAGCACACGCTCCAAATGTTTTAACGAAGAACATGGTACAACACGGCAGTTTTATATATTAAAATGTACAGAAAAATACAGGTGTAACAAGCACGTCATGTAGAATGCGCTTGATAGCATGCAGTGAGCCATCCGAAAATTACCAATGGATGCTCTGAAAAGAACATCCTAAGAAACACGGTGTAATTAGCTTTAGCGTGTCATGTATAAAGTAATTTATACCACATTTTTTTTTTTTTTTATTAACGTGCTTCGCTCTTAGGCACTACACGGAAGGGAGATGCCTTCCTGGAGGGCTTCCTAAGGGAAATTGGCTCGTATACACGTTACACATGGGAAAAAACCACAAAAGCACCCACGAAGCCAGCCCGTTCGCGGGAATCGAACCTCGGACCGAACTACCAGTATCCAGCGAGTTTACCGCTCGGCCGCTGAGGGCCCTACAGCACACGCTGAGAAAATTTTGAAAAATACCAGTATTGTATTTCTAAATGTACGTTATAAGAATATAGTTGTAACACACACTTCTTCAGCACATCATGCAGAACGTACTTTATAGTATGTCTGGGAACGTTTCGAAAAAAACCAGTGTTGTACTTTAAAAAATGCATGTCCGAAGAACACGGTTATAATACGCACAGCTTTACCACGTCCTGTAGAACGTACTTTAGCACATGATCAGAACGTTCCAAAAAGTATAAGTGTTGTACGTTGAAATATGTGTTCTGAGAACACTGTTATAATACGCACCTCTTTAGCACGTCGTTTAGAACGTTTTTCATAGCACATGTTGAGAACGTTTCGAAAAGTACCAGAATGTACGTTGAAATATACGTCCTAAAAACACGGTTATAATACGCACCGTTTTTAGCACGTAATTTAGAACGTTTTTTCCCAGTACATGTTGAGAACGTTTTCGAAATGTACCAAGATTGTATGTTGAAATGTGCATTCTAAGAATATGGCTATAATACGCACCTCTTTAGCACGTCGTTTAGAACGTATTTTCTAGCACATGTTGAGAACGTTTCGAAAAAGTACCAGTGTTGTGCGTTGAAATATACGTCCTAAGAAACACGGTTATAATACGCACCGCTTTAGCACGTCATTTAGAACGTTTTTCCCAGTACATGTTGAGAACGTTTCGAAATGTACCAGGATTGTACGTTGAAATGTGCGTTTTAAGAACACGGTTATAATACGCACCGCTTTAGCACGTCGTTTAGAACGTATTTTCTAGCACATGTTGAGAACGTTTCGAAAAGTACCAGTGTTGTACGTTGAAATATACGTCCTAAGAACACGGTTATAATACGCACCGCTTTAGCACGTCGTTTAGAACGTATTTTCTAGTACATGTTGAGAACGTTTTGGAAAGTACCAGTATTTTACGTTGAAATGTACGTCCTAAGAACACGGTTCTAACATAAACAACTTTAGCATGTTATGTCGAACGTATTTTATAACTCAATCTGGGAACGTTTCAAAAAACACGATTGTTGTACGTCGAAATGTACGTATTAAATACACGGTTGTTACACGCACCACTTTAGCACGTTATGTAGAACGTTCTAAATACGCCTAACACCGTTATAGAACGGTATGACACGGACTCTGAACGTTTTCGGAACGTTCCGGTGCTGCTTGGGTTAATTTCAAGTTAAATCTAAATTTGGAATGCAAGTTTAAATGCAAGTATTATTTTGTACGTACGAATTCTTATTCGTACGAATAGCTTACTCAAAAATTATGTAAAACTGCAGTGCTTTACTTCCCTAGTGCATTCTCATTAGAACAGATGACGCTTGACTTTGCCTTTTCTATATTTCTGCCTTCGGGTGAGCGGTGTGATTGCATCCTAATTGACTTAATTACCGCGAATGGCCATAGGGCATAAAATTGAACTATCTGGTAAAAATTCTATGCCAGTATTAAAAGAAACAATCAATCTGTTAAGAAATGGCTGCGACTTGTTTTGAAAACGAGGCGTAAAAGGATTACCAGCGAGGATATTTCGTTTGGCATCAGTTCTACCATTATTGGCGACTTTATCGCCAGCGCTGGCCAAACGGAAAAGTACCGAAAAATCTCTGCAGACCTAATGTCGGAGTTTTTCGATTGTAATTGCTTATTTATAGTATCAATGGTATTTAATGTATCGGACTCGGTTTAGGTTTGAGAACGTATATTTCTTTATAATTCCCAGCAATTTTAAGCCGCGAACAATATGCAGATTCAAACTTATAATTTAAAGAGACAAACGTCAAATATTTAAAGGAAACAAACCAATGTCTGCACAAAATGGATTCGTTGATGTCTGGCATTATTGACGAACCGAAATACATCCACTCGCTTGTCTTCCGCAGCTTGCTGACAAAGAGCATCGATTGCGATGTAGGTGCCTGACCTACCAGCACCAGCACTGAAATCATGAAAAAGAAACAATTACATTAACCAACCTATTGTACAGTCAGAAAATTATCAGAGTTCAAACAGACAGGAAAAAATACTCCTCGTAATCTGCATATTTCTTTTCGCTTAATGACACTTTAATAAATTGATTGACAGCAGCATAAAAAAATCTGATGTGTACATCACATGACTTCCTTGCACGGAATATTAAATTATACTCATTTTCTTCCGTATTTCATTTAAACGCATTTCCTGGAATTTCATTTAGAGATATATTACTCGTTCAATTAATACAGTTCTCACTTGGAGATAAAGCAAAAATACATAAAAACTCAAAACATCTCTTCATTAAAAATTGAAAAATGTAGAAAAACCTAAAACACCATATACAGTTAAAACAAATATAAAAAAACTTTTTATCAATTAAAAGTACAGTTTCTATGCAAAAACAAGCCATTCGGCCAGTGGGCAAAAAAACTGAAAGTTTACTTTTAGTCCCACTCGGCAAAATGTCACTGAAGGTGCAGAAACTGACTTAATTCACTATTCTGCTAAGTTTCAAACGTAAATAAATATGGCTGCTAAGTTCTTCTGGTGCGGCCGATTTGAACCAAAACGGGAGGTGTACAACTACATGTTATAGCAGTCTTATGTACGAAATTCCAAAGTTCTGAGGATATTCATTTTTGAGTTATGCGAGATGAATACACACATACGTACAGACGTCACAAAAAAAAATCTCTTTTGAATCCATTTTAAATCTAATTTGCAAACCGTTTTGGAAAAACAGAGGCATTCTGTCCAAACATACTGATGTCACGCAAAAACATTGTTCAGATATCCACCTGAATGATGTTTTCGCGTCTGAACAATCCATCTGAACGATGTCGAGAGCGGTCAAAATGGATACTTTCGTTAAAGTATGATATCCGAAATTTTTCGTCGTTATGATACTTCCTTTATAAAGTATTTCTCCCACTTTCCTAGCCTGCCTTCGTGGTGTAGTGGTTCTGTATACTGGGCCGTTATTCGACAGGTCCGTGGTTCGATTCCCGGCGAAGGCGGTTGCTAATTTTTCCTCTCTCCAAACAAATCCTAATGTCTCTACATTGGCGCCCGAACTAAAAGGATATTGGATGAGGATTCTCCATACCCAGGATTTGGCGATTGGGTCCTATAAAAACCACAGTCGCCCTTTAAAAAGGGGAGTATATAATGCATTTCTCCCTGCTTCCTAGCGTGCCTTCGTGGTGTAGTGGTTCTTGCGCAATGGGCCGGTATTCCAGAGGTCCGTGGTTCGATTCCCGGCGAAGGCCCTGCAAAAAAATCGTAATGTCTCTACACTTTCACTTCGTAAAAAGAACTAAAAACCATATTCTGTATCTACTCTTTACCGAGGCACACCAGCGGCCGAGCTGTAAAGACGCTGAACACTGGTAGTTCGGTCCGAGGTTCGAATCACCCGAACGGGCTGGTTGCATGGGCGTCTTCGTGGTTTTCCCCCTGTGTAACGTGTATACTAGCCAGTTTCCCCTAGAAAGTACTCCACGAAGGCATCCCTATATTTAGGCAGATAGCCCTCGTGTGCTTTGCCATAACTGAATTATCCATAATCCATGTACTCTTTACTGTATTATTAATTTCGCATAATAAAACGCTTTACACTGCTTTCTGTCTTATGTTCTTGCTGTGTTGTCTTTGTTTCCGTATTGTCTCGCGAAAGGTGTAACGGGTCATAGTTAGCTATGTTACTATGGTTCCCTTTCACCCGTCAGAGCCCGTATGTAGAATGTTGAGACATCTCTATAATTATTCCCAAAGTAATACTGTTACTTTTTTCGCTTTATTACATACAGATGCAGAGTAAGTTATTCGAGAAATAAATCTAAGAACTCATTTTAAAATTTTATAAAAAAATCAAATACACTTGAAACTTCAGTACCTGCACATGACGACCATAGGTCCTCCCATAACCGGATGATCATCTCTTACTTTCTTCAAGAATTTGATGAAGTAGTTGGTGTTTGTAGGTACAGAACGGTCGGGCCAGCCCGTAAATTGATATTGCATTACGCGATGAGTTCTTATCTCCTAGAATAAAATTTTATTCATTAATTAAGTACAGATAAAAAACTCCAAAATCGAATTATTTACTGAATAAACATAAAATATTGAATTGCGTAAACGAAAGAGAACTTTAACATCGGCAGTATGTGCTACAGCAATGCATGACCTGATATCTGTACGTAAACTTGAATTTCGAAAATTTTAAAGAGACGTTAACACTGAAAAAGTGCTGAATGTCGAGTACAGCGCTTTTCATTACTGTTGTGTCAGTTGGTGCTTACATACATTTAGATAACAGCACAGCGTTGCAGCATGCTCTATTACTTCTACAACTGTTGTATTACTTGCGCTGCATGCTGTATCACAAATACCGCGTTTCTCCGGAAATAAGATCTTTCTTTTAGCCATCGACTGAACAGCTGGTCCAATGGGTTAGGTGCTTTTCAGCCTGTTGAATTCCGTCGATGGAATTAACCCTTTGCACTCGAGCGGTGCCTCTCAGGCACCACTGCATGTGATGCGATAACTCGAGCGGTGCCTGAGAGGCACCATTCGAATCGATGTGTTTATTTGTGTTTAACCTAAGGAATATCGCTTGAGAGATCTACTTGGCCTTTTGTAGATCACATTACGAAGTTTCTGAGTAGCTATAAGGATGTCTTATCTCAAATAAAGGTCGTCTTTGCAATGCTTATGCGATTAAATGTCTTATCTCAAAAATACGTGCGACCGCGGGTAGGACTCTGTCTTCGACATCAGTTCGAACTCAACCTTCTTGCCGATCGCAGTATTTCTTTCAAAGTTACTGAGCCCAATAAGTATGGAACACGACGAAGAAGTTACTTCTAGCGAAGATGAGTTTAAATTTTCGGCAATAACGAACGAAATTACATCACTACATAGAAAGCTTGCCCATGAGAACGAAGACGAAAGTGATAAAGATAGTGACGACGTTAGAGGAGCAAGAAGACGAAAAATCCGAATAATCGATAGTGAATCTGGAATCCAAATTAATTGTACAGAAGAGACTGAACCTTCAGAATGGACAGTGTGCACAGAAAAGCGCCTCGAGCACAAAGGGTTAAAAATAAATAGATAAATAAATATAAATAAAAAGCTTAGTACTGTGTCCTCCGGGAATTGATTTCATTTGTGCTGTGTCCTCCAGGAACTGGCCACGCTAAACGAGGAACATTAAAAGAAGGACGAGAACATGGAAAGAAGGTGCATGGTGGGGACTGTTAAGACCAAAGGGAACACTTTTCACTATTATGGTACATATTAGGCGTACGAATATATTAAGGATATGGTTTAGACTCAGGTACAGATGTTAAGATGAAATCTCAACAAATACATTACAAATTATGAAATAAATTAAATGAGTTCTTAGAGGGAAATAAGATCTAATAAAAAAAATAAGCTTTAGTGTGGTTTTTCAGGGTAATGTAAGCCTTACCTCTCAATAAGCCCTAGTTAAGATCATCAACCAGACTGGCGCCTTATTGGCGAATGACCAAGTGTGGACTCAATATTCATACACACTAGAAACAAACGGACGTGGTTGCGACAAATACGTATCTTCTGTATTCAGTACTTTGCATTAGCAACGGACATTTAACATCTGATTTAAGAACTTTAAAGGATAATAAATTTTGATGCTGAATTAAAATGAGTGCAAAACGAAAGAGCTATTTCGCTGAGTACAAGAAAGGAATTGTGAAAGATTCCGCTTAACGCTCTCTGCAATGAAAAGAATGCTCCGAAAGAAAGCAATGGTGAGAATGGTCCGAAATTGAAAAACAGATTACAATAACCTCAGTAAGGAAGTCGATGGGAGAAATCCCAAGAAGCGTAAGTGTGGATCAAGTAGGCAACCATTATTTCCTGAATTCAAACACATCATCTGTGAATGCATTGCAGACAAAAGACAGCAGTCGTTGATTGTTCGCGGAACTGATATATTCAAGCAGTTGCCTTGCAATGGTACCACAGCTAGACAAGCAATGGTGAGAATGGTCCGAAATTGACGAACAGATTACAATAACCTCAGTAAAGAAGTCGACGGGGGGAAATCCCAAGAAGTGTAAGTGTGGATCAGGTCGTCGGCAACCATTATTTCCTGAATTCGAACACATCATCTGTGAATGGATTGCAGACAGAAGAGAGAAATCGTTGATTGTTCGCGGGACTGATACATTCAAGCAGTTGCCTTGCAATGGTACCACAGCTAGACAAACAATGGTGAGAATGGTCCAAAATGGACGAATAGATTACAATAACCTCAGTAAAGAAGTCGACGGGGAGAAATTCCAAGAAGTGTAAGTGTGGATCAGGTCGGCCACCATTATTTCCTGAATTCGAACACATCATCTGTGAATGGATTGCAGACAGAAGACAGTAGTCGTTGATTGTTCGCGAGACTGACATATTCAAGCATTTGCCTTGTAATGGTACCACAGCTAGACATATTCGCCATATGAATTCAAGGTATCACAACACTGGGTGGATGGCTTCCTTCAGGGATATGAACTGTCTCTAGATACTCAAGAGATCAAACGTGCACTTGTATTCAAGTGTTTCTTTGATGGCATTGAAGCACCAACTCTCGAACATTTAGCCATTGTATAGAATGCCTTGGTATTATGTATAATGCCTAAGGATGTTATATATAATGCCTAAGGATGTTATATATAATGTCTAAGGTATTAAATATAATATCTTAGATATTATATAAACAGGATTTGCCAGTTTATGCTTTGCGGTAACGGGCGGGACTTCGAGAAATCGAAAACTGTATTCGAATCGCTATCACATTACATGGCATCTAGTGTTTAAAGAAGTAACTAAATGCTTTGTTATCCAAACTTTTGTGAGTCCATACCCTTGGTAAAAAATATTTGGCACAAGGCCAGATGAAACAGTTTCTAGCAAAAAATAAACTCAGAAATAAACAAACTCCATCCTTCAAGACAAACAGCAACAGGAAAAGTACTGATAACAAGAAAAATGACGTCGATTACCGGAACACTGACGATTCATTTATAGAAAAGTAACAGCGACTACGCTTGAGTGAAGGTTACTGTAACAGCGAGCAATAACGTTTCAAGAAATGACAATGATCAGGTCAAACTCTCTTTCGAAACTAATTATACGATTTTCTGAGATAAGGAAATAGAACTCATGATTAAAATGAAATAAAAAAAAAGGGCACTGAAATTTAACACAACACGTCTTCTTCGGTTTTATTTAGGAAACATATTGTTGCGTGCGTACGGGTTCGTTATGAAATGAATGCACAAGTCCGATGAAAAATGAACAAAAATTTATTATTATCACAACAAAAATGCTTAAATTTTCTCAAATTATCATGCAGTATTACAATATCTCACAGTAGTTTTCTTTTAACTACTCAAATGTCAATAGAACGTAATTCAAAACAGCTAAAGAACGCTAATCCGCGAATTCGCTACAATCAACAACAGTAGTTTTTTTAAACAACAACAAACTAAGCAACTACTACAAACTGAGATGTTTTCCTCCTTTTATAAGATTTTAAAATCACGCGCTAGAATTTTCCAGTACTTTCTCGAAATCAAAAAGAGATATTTATTTATTTAATGCACGCGCTCTTGTATTTTCAATTTTCCGGCTTAGCTTTCTTTTAATATTCGTCACGCGCTGCACTGCGCGAGAAATAAAACCATTTAATTTATAATTGAACTAACATTAGCTTTTTAAATACCAAATTCGTAACACTGCCCCCTTCCCAAGGACTGCACGTCCCGGGCAGTACAATCCCTGGACAGGAAGCTAAACTTACAACTGTGGCATAATGCAACTGAGGCATAAACATTACATTACAATATCAAACAACATAAACAATAAATGCAAATACATAAAACAAATCAAATGCAAATCAAATCAAATACAAATCAAATACACATTTAAAAACAAAAAATGGACCATGGTCTTATACTATTTACAATTATTTACATTATGTACTATGGCCATAGTAATGAGCTAACCTGTCGTAATGAACGACTTTAGGTTTAGAGTTCGAAGACTTACGAATCCGAACCACGACGTCATTCAGCCTGTTTAGGACTGTGTACGGGCCCATCCCAAGGTGACTGTAATTTCGGACAAAGTCCTTTCCGTCGAGTCGGATTCCACACAACCACACCTTGTCTCCTTCGTGGAATTGATGTTCAGTAGCTCTTGTGTCGTATCGGGTCTTCTTCATCTTCTCCGTCGCCAAGTTGACTCGCTCTCGTGCAAAATTGTGCATCACTTCAAACCGGGCCTGGAGATCTTGAATATATTCCTCAGACGATGAAGGAGCATCCGGAGGGCGGCCAAACAATAGATCACAAGGCAGACGAAGGTCACGACCGAAGAGCATCTGTGATGGAGAATAGCCGGTAGTCTCGTGGACAGCACTGCGGTAAGCCAGTAAAAAGAGTGGTAATTTCTTGTCCCAGTCCTGTTGGTTTCTGGAAACCACTAATGAGAGGTTATTAAGGATGGTTCGATTGAACCTCTCTACCATGCCGTCCGACTGGGGATGCAATGGCGTCGTTTGAGTTTTGTCAATGCCGAGTAGTTTGCATAGTTCTTTGATTACTGCCGAGGCAAAATTCCTTCCCTGATCGGAATGTAACTGAAGAGGCACTCCGAACCTGGAAATCCAGTGCTGTATCATTACCTCAGCTACTGTGACAGCCTCTTGATCAGGAATAGGATAAGCTTCAGGCCACTTGGTGAAGTAATCAATGACAACGAGTATGTATTTGTTGCCATCAGCAGTTCGTGGCAGAGGTCCCAGGATGTCAAAGGCGATACGTTCAAAAGGCGCACCTACGTTGTAACGTTGCAGTCTGCCTCGGCTGCGCGTTTCCTCGGTCCTTTCCGACCTGCACAGGCATCGCAAGATCGGCACCACTTTTGCACGTCATTCTTTGCATTATTCCAGTAAAAGCGCTCACGAACTCTCTGTAAGGTCTTCATAATTCCAAAGTGACCTC